GAAAACTAAGTTCAAGTTCACTTTTTATAGCAAAATTTCACTTATGGTAATTTCCTTATTTTGAGTCTATTTATGGCCTAATATGGGTGACCGGGTCAGCCCATACAGACTTAGGGACTGGTATTTCGGAAGTTTAGCGCTTAATCTCTTCTCTGAAAGATTAGATTTCTGTTTGAGTTGGAAATCGCGACTTTATACCAGAGAAAGCAATAGTGTTTGCAATACCACTAAACACACGAAAGTTTCTCAAAACTTTTACTTTAGAAATATTTTTAGACCTAATTTTCAAATCAAATATTAGAAATGCTGAAAACTAGTTCAAAGTATTTAATGAGAGGTTTGTGTGGAAAATGTGAAGATTTGTGTTGTACTCAATGACTGATTGATTGAGACATAAATTAGCTTAAAAGTTAATATTAGTGTTTGTCCTAAAATTCAATCTCAAAATCATGTCTTTCCTCAAAAGTGTGAAAACAAATCAAATCAACTAATTTCTAGACAAATGATTGCAATTACTATATGTCATGTTGAATTAAATGGAAATTTTTTTGCTGAGATTTATTTTCACTATTGGTAATCATTTGATATATTTTTACATTTAATCAGATAATTAGAAAAAATAATAATCACGCATACCGTTATAAATATAGCCTTTCATGTAAAATACAAAATCTATAGATCTTTAAACTCGTGCTAAACATTAGCATTGTATGAACTTTTAGTTTAGTATTCATGGATTAGTTAAATGCAAATTAGTATCGATTCAGTACTCAATCATACATTTATTGTTTTTACATTTAAATATCCTAAACAATTGCAGTGAATAACCTTTTTATTTGTGTATAAAATATGATATTAAAATAAAACTTATAACTTATTATATAATTATTAAATCAATTAGAAAATGACTTATATATTCTTAAAACTAAACTGGAATTACATCCGCAATAACATACAAAGTGTGGCATTTTTATTGACCCTGCTATTAATAAATCTGATTTTATTCATCAGCCGGTCCATAGAGTACCGGGCGTTTGGTTGGCTGGTGATGTTGGCCCGGGCTAACGGCCAGTGCCTAAACTTCATGTGCGCTTTCATCATAGCCTGTGTGTGCCGGAAGTCCATCACAAAGTTGCGGTCCCACGGGTTCAGCGAGTATTTGCCGCTCGACCACTACGTCTACTTCCATAAGCTTACGGGTTGGGCAGTCGTCTTCTACAGTCTCTTCCACACGGCTATGCATGTCGTCAACTTCAGAGCCCTGTCCAAGATTACCACCATCTCATGGGCGGACTTCCTATTCTCCACACACCTGGGCATCGGTTGGATCGGTGGCGCCGCGTGTCTTACGGGTTGGATCCTATTGGCGCTGTTGGTGGCGATGATGATCCCCGCCCAGCCCTTCATGAGGAGGTCCGGAAAATTTGAAGTCTGTATTAATTTGATGATAAAAATATAAATTAACTTGTTAACTTAATAACTTGTTATTTGATGAATAAATAGGTCTTCTATTACTCGCACCTACTATACGTGCCTTTCTATGTCTGTCTGTTCATACATGCGCCCAGTTTTTGGATGTGGTTCTTGTGTCCACTTTTTGTCTTCTGCATTGAATGGGTACTGAGAGTCTCGAAGTCATTTGTGGGCGACTGGGGGCTCACATACATAGAGCAGGGGGTGATTCTACCCTCTCGTGTCATACAGTTGATAGTGAAACGTCCGCTTAATTTTGACTTTCATCCGGGAGACTATGTCTACGTCCAGATCCCCAACATTACTAATTACGAGTGGCATCCCCTCACCATCAGTAGTGCACCCGAACAGTCGGGTAAGCCTTTTGATGATACTTTTAAACGAGTCATATTTGATAATAGATTTGATTGAATAGACATCATTTGGCTGCACATCCGAGCGGTGGGCGAATGGACTAATCGGTTGTATAACTACTTCAATATGGAGGCGACAGTGAAGGCCAGCCTCACTATCGACAGACATATGTCTCAAATCAATTACAGAGAGTTTATGAAAGAAAACGCTGAAAATGATGGTCAAAACGGGTCTCCCATGAGAAGAACAAAGAGCTCATCCGCTTTCAATGCAACTTCAAAGCACTTGCTTAGGGGCGCAACGGTGATGGTCCTCCCGGTGCCGGTCGACTGCAATGAGTACGGGTGCGGCAGACAGGCCCTGAACGAGAAGAAGAGGAATGACGTGGAAATGGCGGCCTCTCCTGTCAGCAAATCGTCGTTCACATCATTGACTCAATTGAAGTCAGCGATGAGATCAATGAGTGAACCAAACATCTTGAAGAACGCCATCATTCTGGACAGACCTCTGAAAGTGCGTTTGGATGGTCCCTATGGGTCGCCCTCTTCTCACATATTCCGTACACAACACGCGATATTAATCGCCACCGGAATCGGTGTCACACCGTTTGCAAGCATTTTGCAGTCAATTATGTTGAAGTATATTGAGGCCAAACGCAGCTGTCCCTCCTGTGCCCACTCGTGGTCTGATCCCATTCCCCCCAATGTTATGAAGTTGAGGAAAGTGGACTTCATGTGGATTAATAGGGATCACAACAGCTTTGAATGGTTTGTCAGCTTATTGTCTGAGTTGGAGAAACAACAGGAGGAATGGCACGAAACCGAGCGATTCCTCGACATTCATATGCATATCACTCAGGGAAGTGTCCGCCAGAGAAAGACTAGCATTCCGTTGGAGATGAGGGACAGGAGTGAGTCGAGCACTGGTCTCACGTGGCATAAGGGAAGGCCTGATTGGAACAAATTCTTCAAGACTATGGACAACAAGAAAAGGGGAAGAATTACTGTCTTCTTCTGCGGCCGACCAGATCTGGCCCGCAGTTTGCGACTCATTTGCAGTCGATTTGGCTTTCAGTTCAGAAAAGAGATATTTTAGAGATTTTTATTGTTTTGAAAAACTTGTAAAACTTTAAAAATTTGTAAGAATTTTATACCTAACGTGTAAACTAATCATTTTTATTATTTAATAGGTTTTATAAATCATTTATTAAATACTTATTTACCCTGTTTTTATGTATATTTTGTATTAATTAATATAAGCATATAATTTAATTTTTAGCATAAAATCTACAAATATTTTGTTACTGAGATAGTTAATAAATATTTACTTTATAATAATTTAAATCAGATTAATTTGAACAATTATATTTTTGTGTCAATCTGTCATATGAGAATGAATATAATATTATAATTGTGGTTATTAGAGTATAATGATTTGAAAATATAACAAATACAAAATGTTTTCAATAAAGATATTATTTACAAAAACATTAAATTGACGTTTATACAAAAATTGTTTGCATAAGTATTTTACGGTATTATTACTTTAATATCACTTAAACATTAGATTTTATAAGCTTCAGATTTTAAGAAACTATTTACAAATGTTTTATGAAAATAAAATTTAAAATATGATTAATGATACCATTTCTGATATAAATCTAATCAATTAATTGAGTCAATTGGCAAGAGATGACACTTTTGTCTACAGAATCCCTAATAAGGAATATATTGCTTAAGAATAAAACTTTTATTTTTTTTATAATAATGTTATATTATTTATAATATATAGTGATGAGTAATTATATAATTATATTTTATTATACAAAATATTATTAATCCAATAATAAATAACAAAATAAATGATAAAAATTTAGCACTTACTTATACTGATTTTAGTACTTTAGTAAATACTAAAATATTGTATTATTTTAAAAGTATTAGTATAATTAATTAATTAACTTAATTAACTAGTATACTTAGCTTAATTAATTAAATGACATTTTTATTACTTATACTGATTTTAGTACTTTAGTAAATACTAAAATATTGTATTATTTTAAAAGTATTAGTATAATTAATTAATTAACTTAATTAACTAGTATACTTAGCTTAATTAATTAAATGACATTTTTCTCAGCAAAAATTAAATTTTAGCTATGAATTATATTATTTTCATTATTAAAATTCTAGATCATGTGAAAGATTCATGCAAGTCAGTTAATTCAACTAAACGTTTACATTATATTTATTTATATCACATACAGTATATGTCATTATCAATCAATCTTGTAACGTATCTATTGTGTCTTGTAATTTTAATAATAGAAAGATGATAATATTTTAAACAATATACCATATATCTAACAACAGAATTAATTGTGTTTATAATTCAACTTTCAATGTAAATACAAGATATTGATATATTTAAATTAAAAATATTTAATTATAATAAATACTTTGTTTTATACAAGATTTGTTTAATATTGTTTTATTTATAACATGTTTATTAATAATATTACCGTTTTATTAAAATATCAATGTATAGGTTTATAAATCATGAAATATTGTGAAACAAATTAATATTATATTTGATAATACTAAAATCAATTCAGTATAAATCAAATCTTATTAAAATATTTTAGTTTATTTAGTGGTTTAACATTTTAGAATTATTGTATAATATTCATTTAAAAATTATAACTATCTTAAATTATAATTTCAAATTTTGGTTAATTATAATTTAATAATTAACTTCTCGTAAATTATATAACTACTAATGTCTACCAGTAATTAATTATTATAAACGATTTCCCTGTTGAATAAAATGAACATAACGATTTGTGGTGCTAATGTATGAAATTTTGTGTGATTAATAAATTATTTTTAAAATTTTATATAAATTAATTATATTAATAAAATTTGCAGTGGGATCAATTTACAAAATTTAATGTAACAAACTCAACAATAAATCTGAGCGGAATGTTTGCTTATTTGTTTGAGATTATTGTCGACAAACTAAATATAACAAAGTAATATTATTATATTATTTCAGTTAAATTATTATTTATTAACAGAAATTTATTTTAAGTAATAATTGAGATTAAAATAAATGTATTCATAACAGTTATATATTTCGGATGCCTTCAGATGAATCTGATTATGGCCGTCAACTTGCTGACGGCTCATGGAATGGATTAACCGGATTACTGGCCAGAAATGTACTGTACAATTATACTAATTTCTAAATCATTTAATTTTTTAAAATCTGATTAATTTGATTGATCAATAAAGGAGTGTCATATGTCTATAACTCCGCTTGAATTAACTTATAACCGGCGAAATACTGTCATATTTTCACCCATTATTATGTACGAGCCCTACGCCATACTCACTAATGCATTACCTAGATCTCAATTAGAAGTCACAGATTATATAATGTACATGGATAAATATATTTGGATTTTAATACTTTTAACTCAATTGTCGTTAATAATAATAAATATTGCTTATAGTAAACTCTACGGCAAACCTGTTAATATAATAGCAAACCTGTATAATAATCAAACATTTGATTAATACACTTGAAGTATTTCTTAAAAACAGTAATTAGCAAATGAATGAACAATATTTTGAGTAAATAATTTTAATTAATATTTATTTATGTTTTTAGGTTATTATGATCCTCATTTGAAAAATGTTTTATGTTTAGTATTATTTTGCATAACATTATTTATCATTTATTTCAATTCATTTATCGGCTCTGAATATATTACCGCAAAAAATATGAATTTAATAAATACGTTGAGCCAATTGGCCAGGGATGACACAGTTATACCTACCGTTTTCTTTGGGACTCCTATCGAGGATTATTTAAGAGTAATACAGTATACTAATAGTATTATTAAATTATCTGTTTTATCAAGTTTATAATTTATATTTTATAGGATTATAAGTCAGTGGATAACATGAAAATATGGAGTAGAGTTATAAATAATCAAAATGTATCCTTGCTCAATAATGAAGATGACTATTTTAATTGCCAATTAATAGATCTCTTGAATCATAACAAATTAGCAATGATTGAAGGGGTCCGTGATGTTTATCTACTGAGATATGATTATTGCAAAGTAAATCCTAATTTAAAACTATACACATCGGACACCACTATATTGAACACATATCATGCACTCGCATTTCCAATGGGCACTGATTTGAAATTGATTAATAAAGTTTCTGAAATGTTAGTAATATAATACAGTATAATATGTTTTAAAATGTAAATGAATTTAATTTTTATAATTTAGTGTGAAATCCGCTCGAATGGCAGGTCTCCCTAATAAATGGTTTTACAAAACAGTTATGAATGATTACAAAGGGTTAACATATGAAGTGAAAAAGTGTATCAACTATTCTGTTGATAGGGAGTTAACGTGTATTGAATCGATTTCAATGAAAAGTATCAAATCTTTGACACAATTCATAATTTATTCCTTTATTTTAGCATTTCTTGTATTTGTAATCGAGAGTAAATATGAGACCATATTTTTGCCCAATTGTTATCAACTGATTAGATTTAGAGCTCAAATAACTTCCCGCTTAAGAGATTATTATCAGTATATATTTCGCTCGGATTTATAGTCTATTTATATTTAAAGTTATAAATAAATTATCAAATTTTATAATAATGTAAAATGAGTTAATGATAACATACAGGGAATAATTGACGCATAGAAACAGATCAATAATATAATGACTTTAATAATTGAATTATTTGCTTAATTTATATTAATGGATCACTGTAATTATACTTTTATATTTATATAGTGTTTATATTTCATTTGATTAAAACAATGATCATTTCCCATTGATTACGATATAATTGCTAAAGTGGTTATTAAATATGCCCGGGGACATAAGACATAATTGCATTGATAATAAAACAATAGATTTAAAACGGAAACCTTAATATTATGGACTCATTTATCATGCAACAAATTTATATATAGATGAGTGAATAAATTAATGCTTTATCACATGAGATTTTTATCACTAGAAATGACTAGAAAATTGTACACAAACTAAATCTACCCTATTAAATTAAACATAAAATAAAACCGTTTTCGTATTCAATGAAAGTAAAACAAGTATTTGTTGAAAAGAAAATCTACGGACACTTATAAGTGGGCACAACCTCTCCCTCCTCCAGGAGCTCCAAATCGATGACAGGCTTTCCGGGGCAACAGTAGGTGCAGGTCTGGGTCTCGGCGCCGTAGCCCTTATTAAGGCAAAAGTAATTACAAGTACTTCCGCCGCACTTGCGGTCAACGGACAGGAGTCCGCCTCCCAGTCGTGTGATGTCGACCGCGCAGTACCTGCTGGTGGCCGAGCATGTGGTCAGGTATTCAGCGTCGGCTATCGTGTAATTTTTGCCCGGATTATAGCACAGATTATTGACGTCCAGTTTGCTGGTCAGGAAACTGACGGAACAGAAGTAACAGTTGACTCGTTGGACGACCGGCTCGTCCACCACCGGTCGGCCCCGTCCTCTGGGCCTCGGCTTAGGCTTTGGGCGCTTCCTATCGTCTCGTCTTCTTTGACCTAATTTTCTCATACAATGAAAAGTAAAAGTAATAACTCTTCAGCGAAATTACATCTAAAAGATTGTATAATTTATTCACAAACAATGAAAGCGTTTCTTATTTTAATCTCTAATTTCTTCATACGTTTAATGATTAAACAAAAAGAAAGCTTTCATTCATTTGTTACATCGGTTTTGTTCCGCGATTTTCCTCTAATTAATGTCTAAATAAAGTCCTTTTTTCATAAAATATTTACTTATAATGGACTCACATATAACTGAATCAAACAAAATGCATACAACTATGAGAGCAATCAAATGTTGTGTTAGTTTTAAAACCATTATATAGTATTTGAATTGAGGAAATAATTGAGGAAATACTTGTTATATTAATAATAGTACTAATAATATTATAAATGTATAATAATTTAGTATTAGTATCACATTTACTTGCTACTGCTGTTTAAAAATGAATCTGAAAATAATAAAATTTTTCAAATAACATATAACATTAT